TCTCTGTGTTGGCTCAGGGTCTTCTGTCTCTATGTTGGCTCAGGTCTTCTGTCTCTATGTTGGCTCAGGGTCTTCTGTTTCTGTGTTGGCTCAGGGTCTCTGTGTTGGCTCAGGGTCTTCTGTCAGGGTCTCGCTGTGTGGCTCAGGGTCTTCTGTCTCTGTGTTGGCTCAGGTTCTGTGTTGGCTCAGGGTCTCTGTGTTGGCTCAGGGTCTTCTGTCTCTGTGTTGGCTCAGGGTCTTCTGTCTCTGTGTTGGCTCAGGGTCTTCTGTCTCTGTGTTGGCTCAGGGTCTCTGTGTTGGCTCAGGGTCTTCTGTCTCTGTGTTGGCTCAAGGTCTTCTGTCTCTGTGTTGGCTCAGGGTCTTCTGTCTCTGTGTTGGCTCAGGGTCTTCTGTCTCTGTGTTGGCTCAGGGTCTTCTGTCTCTGTGTTGGCTCAGGGTCTTCTGTTTCTGTGTTGGCTCAGGGTCCTGTCTGTTTCTGTGTTGGCTCAGGTCTTCTGTCTCTGTGTTGGCTCAGGGTCTTCTGTCTCTGTGTTGGCTCAGGGTCTTCTGTCTCTGTGTTGGCTCAGGTCTTCTGTCTCTGTGTTGGCTCAGGTCTTCTGTCTCTGTGTTCTGTCTTCTGTCTCTGTTTTGGCTCAGGGTCTTCTGTCTCTGTGTTGGCTCAGGGTCTTGTGTCTCTGTGTTGGCTCAGGGTCTTCTGTGTTCTCTGTCTTGGCTCAGGGTCAGGGTCTTCTGTCTCTGTGTTGGCTCAGGGTCTCTGTGTTGGCTCAGGGTCTCTCTCTTCTCTGTGTTGGCTCAGGGTCTTCTGTCTCTGTGTTGGCTCAGGGTCTTCTGTCTCTGTTGGCTCAGGGTCTTCTGTCTCTGTGTGGCTCAGGGTCTCTGTCTCTGTGTTGGCTCAGGGTCTTCTGTCTCTGTGTTGGCTCAGGGTCTCTGTGTTGGCTCAGGGTCTTCTGTCTCTGTGTTGGCTCAGGGTCTTCTGTCTCTGTGTTGGCTCAGGGTCTTGAGGTGGGTAGTAGAATGTAATTATGTATTAACTGGTTGTTGACTGCTGGTCTGGACTTTTTGGTGTGTACCGCCTCACTGATGTCGAGTCTTCTGTTGGCGTTATACCTGTTGACTATTTCAGTGTTGCTTGTTAAGATGTCTCTGGTGATGGTCTGGTTGTGTGAGGAGATTATATGCTCCTTGATGGAGCCCTGTTGCTTGTGCATTGTTAATCGCCTAGAGAGGAGAGAGACGTTATGGTCTTGCCTATATACTGAGATCTTTGGGGGCTGATAGTCCCCAAGTGGGCATGTGAAGGCATAGGCAACGTTTAGTCTCTCTTAAGACGTTCTGCTTGGGTGTGTCTGGAGAGTTCTTCAAAAGCAAGTTGACGATCTTCTTGTTTTTGTAAATAAGTTGTTAATTGTATCTTCTGATTAGTGTCTGTGGGGATAACGTTCCTATCAGAACACTTTCTTATCTTTCAGAACAATATCTTTCAGGACACTTTCCTCCGTTTTATGAGCCGTCGAAAAGAAGTTTCTGTAAAAACAGTCTAATTGGGGGTACATGTGTTGTGTTGGTTGACTCTTCAGAAGTTGCATGGCGTTTTACCTATCTTTTGGTGACGTCTTCAACATATATATATAAATATATATATATATATATATATATATATATAGATATATATATATATATATATATATATATATATATATATATATATATATATATATATATATACATATACACACACACACACACACACACACACATATATATGGTAGCAGTCTTTCCTGTAGACATATATATTAAATATGACCGAAAAAGTAAGATTAATAATTCTAACACGAATTTTCTCAATGTTTCTTACATTTTTCTTCACTGTTGATGGTAACTGAAAAATCAATTCTCCAAAATTCATTTTTATTTCTAGTCTGACGCGACACTTGAGCGCGTTTCGTAAAACTTATTACATTTTCAAAGACTTTAGTTTACACACACACACAACTATAACTGAATAGAGCTTAAACATCTTCGATTTTTTATACCTGCATTTTGGTGAAGTGATATGTTACAATAGTTTTTTGGATGAGGTGAAAACAAACTTTCAAACACAAGACAGAACACGAAACAATGGGTATAATATTTTGTAAGTTAAAGGAAGAATGGAAGTAACTGCAAAGGGCCTATTGGCCCCATATTTCTTGATGCTTCTATATTGGTGCGGAGTCTTGAAGTGGGTAGAATATAGTTGTGCATTATTGGCTGTTGATTGCTGGTGTCGACTTCTTAATGTGTAGTGCCTCGCAGATATCTAGCCGCCTGCTATCGCTGTATCTATCGATGATTCCGTGTTTTTTGTTAAGACTTCTCTGGTGATGGTCTGGTTATGGAAGAGATTATATGTTCCTTAATGGAGCCCTGTTGCTTATGCATCGTTAATCGCCTGGAAAGAGATGTTGTTGTCTTGCCTATATACTGAATTCTTTGAGGCTTACAGTCCCCAAGTGGGCATTTGAAGGCATAGACGCGATGGTCTTTTTAAAGCATTTTGCTTTGTGTCTGGAGAGTTTCTCATGAGTAGGTTGGCCGTTTCTTGGTTTTATAGTAGATCGTCAATTATATCTTCTGATTTTTGTCTGTAGGGATAACGTTTCTATTAACAAAATCTTTCAGGACCCTTTCCTCCGTTTTACGAGCTGTAGAAAAGTAGTTCATGTAAAATAGTCTAATAGGGGGTATAGGTGTTGTGTTAGTTGTCTCTTCAGAGGTTGCATGGCGTTTCACCTTCCTTCTTATGATGTCTTCAACGAAACCATTGGAGAAGCCGTTGTTGACTAGGACCTGCCTTACCCTACAGAGTTCTTCATCGACTTGCTTCCATCCTGAGCTGTGGCTGAGAGCACGGTCGACATAAGCGTTAACGACACTCCTCTTGTACCTGTCTGGGCAGTCACTGTTGGCATTGAGGCACATTCCTATGTTTGTTTCCTTAGTGTAGACTGCAGTGTGGAAACCTCCGCTCCTTTCCATGACTGTTACATCTAGAAAGGGCAGCTTCCCATCCTTCTCCATCTCGTAAGTGAAACGCAACACAGAATTCCGCTCAAATGCCTCCTTCAGCTCCTGCAGATGTCTGACATCAGGTACCTGTGTAAAAATGTCGTCAACATACCTGCAGTATATGGCCGGTTTCAAGTTCATGTCGACTAAGACTTTTTGCTCGATGGTACCCATGTAGAAGTTTGCAAACAGGACACCTAGGGGAGAACCCATGGCGACCCCATCTACTTGCTTATACATGTGCCCATCCGGGCTCAAGAAGGGTGCCTCTTTAGTACAAGCTTGGAGTAGTTTCCTTAGAATGTTTTCTGGTATGTCAAGAGGAGTACAGGCCGGATCACGCTTTAAAAGAGACCAATGTCGTCTATGCCTTCAAATGTTCCCCCACTTGGGGACTGTAAGCCTCAAAGAATTCAGTATATAGGCAAGACAACATCTCTTTCCAGGCGATTAACGATACATAAGCAACAGGGCTCCATTAAGGAACATATAATCTCTTCCCATAACCAAACCATCACCAGAGAAATCTTAGCAAACAACACAGAAATCATCGAGAGATACAGCGATAGCAGGCGGCTTGATATCTGCGAGGCACTACACATCAAGAAGTCAACACCAGCAATCAACAGCCAATTAATGCACAACTATATTCTACCCACTTCAAGACTCCGCTCCAATATAGAAGCATCAAGAAATATGGGCCAATAGGCTCTCTGCAGTTACTTCCATTCTCACCTTCAATACCCATTATTTCGTGTTCTGTCTTGTGTTGAAAGTTTGTTTTCACCTCATCCAAAACTGTTGTAACATATCACCTCACCCAAATGCAGGTATAAAAAAAAATTGAAGATGTTTAAGCTCTATTCAGTTATAGTTGTGTGTGTGTAAACTAAAGTCTTTGAAAATGTATTAAGTTTTACGAAACGCGCTCAAGTGTCACGTCAGACTAGAAATAAAAATAAATTTTGGAGAATTGATTTTTCAGTTACCATCAACAGTGAAAAGAAACATAAGAAAGATCGAGAAAATTCGTGTTAGAATTATTAATCTTACTTTTTCGGTCATATTTAATAATATATGTCTACAGGAAAGACTGCTACCAAAATATACTAATATATATATATATATAAGTATATTTTGGTAGCAGTCTTTCTTTTGAACATATGTTGTTGAATATGACCGAACGGGTAAGATTAATGATTCTAACACGAATTTTCTCATATTTCTTACGTTTTTCTTCACTGTCGGGAGTAATTGAATATTAACTCTCCAAAGTTAATTTTATTTTTTTTTTATTTATGGTCTGACGCCTAAAAGCGTTTTGCAAGGACTTCTCACATTTTCAGACAGGTTTACACATATCATTTCACGCTTAAATACGTTTTGGGTGAGGTGATATGACACAAATGTTTTTGAGTGGGATGACAGAAACACGAATCAATGGGTATAGATTGAATATGAAAACATAAGAATGAAATTACCTACAGAAGGCCTATTGGCCCATATTTTTTGAGATATATACAAGAGTTGTTACATTCATTCATTTTCTCTTGCTTCTTCTATGCTGGTTCGGGGTCTTGAAGTGGGTAGAATATAGTTATAGCGTTAATTGGCTGTTGATTGCTGGTGTTGATTTTTTGATGTGTAGTGCCTCGCTGATGTCGAGTCTCCTGCTATCGCTGTATCTATCGAATGATTTCTGTGTTGCTTGTTAACGACTTCTCTGGTGATGGTCTGGTTGTGGGAAGAGATTATATGTTCCTTGATGGAACTCTAGAGAAAACAGACAACAATCACTATAGGAAGACCTCATCCAGCTCTTCAGCTGGGTGAGTGCGTACTCATCCAGCTCTTCAGCTGTGGAGTGCGTACTCATCCAGCTCTTCAGCTGTGGAGTGCGTACTCATCCAGTTTTTCAACTGTGGAGTGCGTACTCATCCACAGCTCTTCACATGTCGAGTGCGTACTCATCCAGCTCTTCAGCTGTGGAGTGCGTACTCATCCAGTCTTCAACTGTGGAGTGCGTACTCATCCAGTTCTTCAACTGTGGAGTGCGTACTCATCCAGCTCTTCAACTGTGGAGTGCGTACTCATCCAGCTCTTCAACTGTGGAGTGCGTACTCATCCAGCTCTTCAACTGTGGAGTGCGTACTCATCCAGCTCTTCAACTGTGGAGTGCGTACTCATCCAGCTCTTCAACTGTGGAGTGCGTACTCATCCAGCTCTTCAACTGTGGAGTGCGTACTCATCCAGCTCTTCAACTGTGGAGTGCGTACTCATCCAGCTCTTCAACTGTGGAGTGCGTACTCATACCAGCTCTTCAACTGTGGAGTGCGTACTCATCCAGCTCTTCAGGTGTAGAGTGCGTACTCATCCAGCTCTTCACATGTAGAGTGCGTACTCATCCAGCTCTTCAGCTGTGGAGTGCGTACTCATCCAGTTCTTCAACTGTGGAGTGCGTACTCATCCAGTTCTTCACTGTGGAGTGCGTACTCATCCAGCTCTTCAACTGTGGAGTGCGTACTCATCCAGCTCTTCAACTGTGGAGTGCGTACTCATCCAGCTCTTCAACTGTGGAGTGCGTACTCATCCAGCTCTTCAACTGTGGAGTGCGTACTCATCCAGCTCTTCAACTGTGGAGTGCGTACTCATCCAGCTCTTCAACTGTGGAGTGCGTACTCATCCAGCTCTTCAACTGTGGAGTGCGTACTCATCCAGCTCTTCAACTGTGGAGTGCGTACTCATCCAGCTCTTCAACTGTGGAGTGCGTACTCATCCAGCTCTTCAGGTGTAGAGTGCGTACTCATCCAGCTCTACAACCCTCTACATCGTGCGCAGACGCGACGCGCAGCCCGGAGCCTCGGCCCCTGACTACATAACCTGACAGCCAGACGGTCCCGGCCGTCCCGCGTCAGTCTGCTGCAGCTAAGGGTAAGGTCACGTCGCTCCTCCTCGCTGTATACTCTTGGAGCTTTGGTGTTTACCCTTGAAGGTTGGCCAGTCAGCCTATTGTGGCCTGCACCTTGCACTTGTTAGCTCCCTCATTAACCTGATCCTTCATAAAGACGATAATTCTTTTAATGGCTCCCTAATTGTCTTGAAATGTGTGTTATTTATTTATTTATAACAAGAAAGTACATTGGGGTTAAGAGGGAACAGAGCACTGATGTTCTTGTAAAGCCAGTAACACGCACAGCGTTTCGAGCAGGTCCTTAATTTGACAGTTAATATTAAGTTGGTAATTTCTAGCAAAATTGATTTTTTTAACATGTACATTGTAAGAAAATTTGAGAGAGATTAGTAGGTACATCATATTATAATGTAAGGGTTATAAACAGTTCATTGTGGCATAACTTGAGGAATATTTCAAGGTATACTGCAATTATATATGCGTTCAATATAACAACCATTATAAGATGATAGCAATGGTTACAATGGACAGGTTGTATAGCTTAGGTATATATATATATATATATATATATATATATATATATATATATATATATATATATATATATATATATATATATATATATATAGTAGTAGTAGGCATCCTTCAGTCTCGGGAGACTATGGAGTTGCGCCCTAGTTGTCAATCCTGGTGCAGCGTCTGGTGTGACTGATGAGGCCAATCCGAGAGTGGCAGTCCATCCCACACCGAGCACAAACGAAGTCCGATTCTGGTCTGTCTTCCTGGTTACCGGCTTTCCTTCTCTGTCTCTTTGCCTCCGATTCCTTGGCAAGTGACTCCTCGAACTTGGAGAGACCTCGTTGAACAGACTGCCTCCAGGCTGAACGGTCTGTAGCCAGTGTCTCCCATATAGCAAGATCGACGTCCATGGCTTTCAGGTCCCTTTTGCATACGTCTTTGTACCGTAGCTGGGGCTTGCCTACTGGACGCTTTCCCTGCCTCAGCTCTCCATACAGGAGATCCTTGGGGATCCTGCCGTCGCCCATTCGCACAACGTGCCCGAGCCAGCGCATTCGTCTCTGTTTCAGCATTGTGTACATGCTGGTGATTCTTGCTCTCCCCAAGACGTTGTTGTTTGTCACCTTGTCCTGCCAGGTGATGTCCAAGATGTGTCGAAGGCAGCGCATGTGGTAGGCATTCAGCCGTCTTTCCTGACGGGCGCGGAGTGTCCAAGACTCACTGCCATAAAGGAGAGTGCTCAGGACACAGGATCTGTAAACCTGAATCTTAGTATACTCAGTTAGCCTATTGTTGGCCCACACTCTCTTTGTCAGTTTGGACATGGTAGTAGATGCCTTACCGATGCGTTTGTTTAGCTCCGTATCAAGAGAGAGGGAGTCAGAGATTGTGGAGCCCAGGTACACGAAGTCGTGAACAACTTCCAGTTTGGAATCAGAGATGCCGATGTCAGGTGGGGAGTCCACTCCTTGTCCCATGACTTGTGTTTTCTTCAGACTGATGGTGAGTCCGAAAGCCTGAGAGGCCTCGCTGAAGCGGGTTATGAGCCGTTGGAGGTCTTCAGCTGAGTGGGCAGTGACTGCTGCGTCGTCGGCAAAGAGGAAGTCGCGCAGACACCTCAGCCGAACCTTTGTCTTGGCTCTCAGCCTGGCGAGGTTAAAGAGCTTCCCATCCGACCTGGTCCGGAGGTAAATGCCTTCCGTGACAGATCCGAAGGCGTGCCGCAGCATAACTGCGAAGAAAATCCCGAATAGGGTTGGAGCCAGTACGCAGCCCTGCTTTACTCCACTTCGGATGTCAAAGGCGCCTGATGTTAGGCCATCAAAGACCACGGTGCCCCTCATGTTCTCATGGAAAGATCTGATGATGCTGAGGAGCCTGGGTGGGCATCCGATCTTGGGGAGGATCTTGAACAGGCCATCCCTGCTGACGATGTCGAAGGCCTTCGTCAGGTCTATGAAGGCTACAAAGAGTGGCTGCTTCTGTTCCCTGCATTTCTCCTGCAGTTGTCTGAGGGAAAAGACCATGTCGATGGTGGACCTGCCAGCTCTGAATCCACATTGTGATTCTGGATAAACTCTCTCTGCAAGTACTTGGAGCCTCTTCAATGCGACTCGAGCAAACAGCTTTCCGACAATACTGAGGAGGGAGATTCCACGGTAGTTGTTGCAGTCGCCCCTGTCACCTTTATTCTTATACAGTGTGACGATGTTGACATCCCTCATGTCCTGTAGCACCTCTCCTTCTTCCCAGCAGAGGCAGAGAATTTCGTGCAGCTCCATGAGCAGGCTACCTCTGCAGCACTTCAAGGTCTCAGCAGGAATGCCATCTTTGCCAGGAGCTTTACCAGAAGCAAGGGAGTCTAGGGCATCGCTGAGTTCTTCCAGGGTCGGTTCACTGTCGAGCTCCATTAACACAGGCAGACACTCAATGGCGCTCAGGGCATCTTCGGTGACCACATTGTCCCTGGCGTATAGCTCAGAGTAGTGCTCGACCCAGCGCTTCAGCTGCAGTGTCTGGTCCTGAATCACCTCGCCAGTGGCAGATTTCAGAGGAGCGGTCTTCTTCTGGATTGGGCCGAGGGCCTGCTTGATGCCGTCATACATTCCCCTTACATTGCCTGTATCCGCTGCAGTCTGTATCTGGGAGCAGAGCTGGAGCCAATAGTTGTTGGCACATCGCCTGGCGCTCTGCTGCACTTTGCAGCGGACGGCCCGAAGGATCTGTAAGTTGCGCCGACTTGGGCAGGCTTTGTAGGCTGCCAAGGCGTTTCTCTTCTCTTCGATGACAGGTGTCATCTCTTCCGAGTGAGCCTCGAACCAGTCTGCCGACCTTCTGGTCTTCTTGCCAAAGGTGGAAATGGCAGTATTGAACACAGCGTCTCTGAAGCGCTCGCATCTTTTACAGGCAGTGACCCAGCTGGGCCAGGAAGAGCTTCCTCGAGCACGTGTGCAAAATCTTCCACCTTGTCCTGGTTGCGGGTCTTGGTGGTGTCGATGCGAGGTCTGCCCACCTTTTTCGAGTGATGAATCTTCTTTGGTTGCATCTTGACCCTGCTACATACCAGGGAGTGGTCGGTGTCACAGACCGCACTCTGGTAGCTACGCGTAATCTTGACGCTGGGTAGACTTGCACGCCTGGTAAGAATCAGGTCAAGCTGGTGCCAGTGCTTGGATCTGGGGTGTCTCCAAGATACTCGGTGTTGATGCTTTGTGCCGAAGAACGTGTTGGTGACACAGAGACCATGAAGGCAGCAGAGTTCTAGCAGACGTTGCCCGTTCTCATTCATCCTCCCTATGCCGAATTGACCCAGACAAGTGGGCCAAATGTTGTGCTCGGCACCCACTCTGGCTTTGAAGTCGCCGAGGATGAACAGTGGCTCCTTTACAGGGATTCTCGCTATGACTCTGTTGAGGTCATCGTAGAATTTTTGCCTCTGCTGGAGAAGTCAGGGTTGGTGCATATGCACTAATTACATTGACTCTTCTTGTTTGGGAGTGCAGTTGCAGAGACAGAATTCGTTCGGTTTCCCCCATCGGTGGCCTAATGTGTCCCAACAGTGCATTCCTGACGTCAAATCGCACACCATGTTCTCTGGTCCCATCTGGAGGTTTTCCTTGCCAGAAGAAAGAGAAGGTCCTTTCTCTCACAGATCCTGATCCTGGGAGCCTGGTCTCTTGGAGAGCAACAATATCCATCTGCAGCTTGCTCAGCTCCCTATCGATGATTGTTGTTTTTCGGACGTCATTGATTTCTTGCAGGTCGTCAGAGAAACCTGGTGTCAGTGTCCTGATGTTCCATGTGCCCAACTTTAGGGCAGTTAATATTTTCTTTTTAGGTTTGGTATTGCTTGGTGCAAAGTTGTTGGGCCGCTTGTCGGTTTTCACCCTAAACTCCACGCACCCAGTGAGGTTAACGGACCGTGGCGAGGCAACACCTTATTGGCTGGGGTTTGCCCAGCTTGAGGCGGGCGGTAGCTGCCCAGTGGGGCGCGATGACCCCTCCCACCGTCGGAAGCAACCCCTGGCGTCACACTCTTTGCCAATCGAGCAGAAGAAAAAACCGGTAGACTGTCGCTTCCTGTGTTGGTTCGACGCTGTGAGGCGAAGCTGGAGTGTCCTCTCCAGGGCGCAAAGCCTGGGTAGGTAGATATGGAGAAGCTGTTACCCATGCAGCAGGTCCCCCCTCTCCACGTTGCTGAAATTATCCAATAGAGAGGCAAATGCCAATACGCATGGTTCCAGCAACGTCGCAGGAGCTGCCAGAACGAGGTCGACGTCAACAACGAACTGCCTTAGGGGCTCCAACTCCGGATTTTTCCTCGAGGTTGACTCCTGAAGCCTTCCCAAAAACAAGGGTATGGCCGCAAGGCAGCGGAGGTTTAAAATCAGGGTTTTCCTTCCCCTAGATGGGCTGCCTTCCCAGGCTATCGAGTCCCATCTACCCGGAGCAGCTGGTTTTAAGGCGCCAGAGGCACGCCCTCGCCCCTTCAGTGCTATATATATATATATATATATATATATATATATATATATATATATATATATATATATATATATATATATATATATATATATATATATATATATATATATATATATATATATATATATATATATATGTACTGGGGGATTGGGTAGCGCTAATTTCTTTACAATGTTGAATAAAAAACCTTTTATACATCAACTTGAAAAAATACAATGTTGTATACAATACGACACTATAAATCACCTTAATTAACAATACAATCCAATACAATACAACACTATACATAACTTTGAGAAACAATACAATGTTGTATACAATACAAGACTGTAAACATCACCTTGGGACACAATGTTGGTTACGTCCAAAAATTAGTTTTAATACACATATATTGTGCTTCTCCTCCTTCATTAATGGAGCAGCCGCGGAGAATGGCTGTCACGGATGGTACTCTCTCTACAATCCTCAACAACTCTCTACAACCCTCTACAACCCTCAACAACTCTCTACAACCCTCAACAACTCTCTACAACCCTCAACAACTCTCTACAACCCTCAACAACTCTCTACAACCCTCAACAACTCTCTACAACCCTCAACAACTCTCTACAACCCTCAACAACTCTCTACAACCCTCAACAACTCTCTACAACCCTCAACAACTCTCTACAACCCTCAACAACTCTCTACAACCCTCAACAACCCTCTACAACCCTCAACAACTCTCTACAACCCTCAACAACTCTCTACAACCCTCAACAACTCTCTACAACCCTCAACAACTCTCTACAACCCTCAACAACTCTCTACAACCCTCAACAACCCTCTACAACCCTCAACAACTCTCTACAACCCTCAACAACTCTCTACAACCCTCAACAACTCTCTACAACCCTCAACAACTCTCTACAACCCTCAACAACCCTCTACAACCCTCAACAACTCTCTACAACCCTCAACAACTCTCTACAACCCTCAACAACTCTCTACAACCCTCAACAACTCTCTACAACCCTCAACAACTCTCTACAACCCTCAAAAACTCTCTACAACCCTCAACAACTCTCTACAACCTCAACAACCCTCTACAACTCTCTACAACCCTCAACAACTCTCTACACCCTCAACAACCCTCAACAACTCTCTACAACCCTCAACAACCCTCAACAACTCTCTACAACCCTCAACAACTCTCTACAACCCTCAACAACTCTCTACAACAACCTCTAACCCTCACAACCCTCAACAACTCTCTACAACCCTCAACAACTCTCTACAACCCTCAACAACTCTCTACAACCCTCAACAACTCTCTACAACCCTCAACAACTCTCTACAACCCTCAACAACCCTCAACAACTCTCTACAACCCTCAACAACTCTCTACAACCTCAACAACCCTCAACAACCCTCTACAACCCCTACAACCTTCTACAACCCTCAACAACCCTCTACAACCCTCAACAACTCTCTACAACCCTCAACAACTCTCTACAACCCTCTACAACCCTCAACAACTCTATACAACCCTCAACAACTCTCTACAACCCTCAACAACTCTCTACAACCCTCAACAACTCTCTACAACCCTCTACAACCCTCTACAACTCACTACAACCCTCTGCAACACTCTACAACCGTCTACAACCTTCTACATCCTTCTACAACCCTCTACAACTCTCTACAACTTTCTGCAACCCTCTACAACCTACTACAACCTTCTACAACTCTCAACAACTTTCTACAAACCTCTACAACTCACTACAACCCTCTACAACTCTCTACAACCCTCTACAACTCTCTACAACCCTCTACAACCTTCTACAATCTTCTACAAAACTCTACAACTCTCTACAACTTTCTACAACTCTCTACAACCCTCTACAACCCTCAACAACCCTCTACAACCCTCTACAACCCTCTACAACCCTCAACAACCCTCTACAGCCTTCTACAACCCTCTACAACTCACTACAACCCTCTACAACCGTCTACAACCCTCTACAACTCACTACAACCCTCTTCAACTCTCTACAACCTTCTACAACCCTCTACAACCTACTGCAACTTCTACAACTCTCTACAACTTTCTACAACCCTCTACAACTCACTACAACCCTCTACAACTCATTACAACCCTCTACAATCCTCTACAACTCACTACAACCCTCTACAACACTCTACAACCTTCTACAACCCTCGACAACCCTCTACCATCCTCTGCAATGCTCTACAACTCTCTACAACCCACTACAACCCTCTACAACACACTACAACCCTCTACAACTCATTACAATCCTCTACAACCTTCTCCAACCTTCTACAATCCCCTACAACTCTCTACAACATTCTACAACCTTTTACAACACTCTACAACTCTATACAACTTTCTACAATCCTCTACAACTCACTACAACCCTCTACAACCTTCTACAACCTTCTACAACTCTCTACAACCCTCTGCAACCTTCTACAACCTTCTACAACTCACTAACAACCCTTTACAACTTTCTACAACCCCCTACAACGTTCTTTAACCTTCTGCAACCTTCTACAACCCTATACAACTGTCTACAACTCTCTACAATCCTCTACAACCCTCTACAACTCTCTACAACATTCTGCAACCTTCTACAACCTTCTACAACACTCTACAACTCTTTACAACTTTCTACAATCCTCTACAACTCGCTACAACCCTCTACAACTTCTACAACCCCCTAGAACCTTCTTTAATCTTCTGCAACCTTCTACAACCCTCTACAACCCTCTATAACTATCTACAACCCTCTACAACCCTATACAACCCTCTACAACTCTCTACAACCTTCTACAACCCTATACAACTGTCTACAATCCTCTATAACTGTCTACAACCCTCTACAACCTTCTACAACTCTTTACAACTCTCTACAACCCTCTGCAATCCTCTACAACCTTCTTTAACCTTCTACAACCTTCTACAACCTTCTACAACCCTCTAGAACCCTATACAACTGTCTACAACTCTCTACAATCCTCTACAAACCTCTAGAACTCTCTACAACATTCTATAACATTCTACAACCTTCTACAATCCTCTACAACGCTCTACAACCCTCTATAATTTTCTACAAACCTCTACAACTCTCAACAACCTTCTATATCCCTCTACAACTCTCTACACCCTTCTACAACCCTCTACAACCCTATACAACCCTCAACAACCCTCTTTAAAATTCTACAACCTCTACAATCCCTACAACTCTCTACAATCCTCTACAACCCTCTACAGCTCTCTACAACATTCTACAAACCTTCTACAACCTTCTACAACCCTCTACAACCCTCTCTAAATTTTCTACAAACTTCTACAACCCTCTACAACTCTATTCACCCTTCTACATCCTTCTACGACCTTCTACAACCCTCTACAACCCTCTACAACCCTCTATAATTTTCTATAAACTTCCACAACCCTCTACAACTCTCTACAACCTTCTATAACCCTCTACAACACTCTACACCCTTCTACAATCTTCTACAACCCTATACATTCCCTCAACAACCCTCTTCAAAATTCTACAACCCTCTACAACCTTCTACAACCTTCTACAACCCTCTACAACCCTCTACAACCTTCTACACCCTCTACAACCCTATACAACCTTCTACAACTCTCTTCAACTTTCTACAAACTTCTACAACTCTCTACATCCCTCTACAACTCTCTACATCCCCTCTACAACTCTCTACAACCCTATACAACCCTCTACAACCTTCTAAAACCCTCTACAACCCTCTACAACTTTCTACAACCCTCTACAATCCTCTACCACCCTATACAATCCTCTACAACCCTCTACAACCCTCTACAATCCTCTTCAACTCTCTACAACCTTCTACAACTCTCTACAACCATCTACAACTCTCTACAACCCTCTACAGCTCTATTCAACCGTCTACAACTCTCTAAAACCATCTACAACCCACTACAACTCTTTACAAACCTCTTCAACCCCTCTACAACCCAATTCAACCGTTTACAACCCTCTACAACCCTCTGCAACCCTCTACAACTCTCTACAACCCTCTACACCCCTCTACAACCCTCTACAACTCTCTACAACCCTCTACCTCTACAACTACAACTCTCTACAACCCTCTACCATCCCCTACAACTCTCTACAACCCTCTACAACCGCCTACAACCCTCTACATCTCCTAAAACCCTCTACAACTCACTTCAACCCTCTACAACTCTCTACAGCTCTCTACAGCCCTTTACAACGCTCTACAACTCTCTACAACCTCTACAATTCTCTGCAACCCTCTACAACCTCTACAACTCTCTACAACCCTCTACAACCCACTTTAACCCTCTACAACCCTCTACAACCCTCTACAACTCTACAACACTCTGCAACCCAATTTAACTCTCTTAACCCCTCTACATCCTTCTACAACCTCTACAACTCTCTAAAACCCACTTCATCCCTTTACAACTCTCTACAACTCTCTAAAACCCTCTTCATCCTTCTACAACCCTCTACAACCCACAACAACCCTTTACTACCCTCTACAACTCTCTACAACCCACTACAATTGTTTACAACTCTCTAAAAATCTCTACAACTCTCTAAAACCCTCTACATCCTTCTATAACCCTCTACAACCCACTACAACCCTCTATATCTCTCTACAATAAACAATATCCCTCTTCAACCCTTTAAAGCCCTCTACAGCTCTTTACAATTCTCTACAATACTTTACAAATCTCTTCAACTCCCTACAATTCTCAACAACACCCTACAACCCTTTAAAACCCTCTACAACCCTCTGCAACCCTTTACAACCTTCTACAACTCTTTAAAACCCTTTATTATCCTACACGACTCTCTACAACTCTTTAAAACCCTCTATTATCCTTCACGACTCTCTACAATCCTTCTGCAAACTTCTACAACCCTCTACAACCTTCTACAACCCTCTCACTTAGCGTCTTGATGCTAGGATTGCACTCTTGGATCTCTTAAGTTAAACGCTGGTACAACAAGTTGTGAAAGTGTAGTATATGAAAATATGTCTTCCTGTATACAACAGACCACATAACATATGTGTGAAGGTCTGCTCTTTGTGGCAGTGAATATGAGCAGCATCCTCACTGTCCTGTGTGGCAGTGAATATGAGCAGCATCCTCACTGTCCTGTGTGGCAGTGAATATGAGCAGCATACTCACTGTCCTGTGTGGCAGTGAATATGAGCAGCATACTCACGGTCCTGTGTGGCAGTGAATATGAGCAGCATCCTCACTGTCCTGTGTGGCAGTGAATATGAGCAGCATCCTCACTGTCCTGTGTGTGGCAGTGAATATGAGCAGCATACTCACTGTCCTGTGTGGCAGTGAATATGAGCAGCATCCTCACTGTATGTGTGGCAGTGAATATGAGCAGCACTGTCCTGTGTGGCAGTGAATATGAGCAGCATCCTCACTGTCCTGTGTGGCAGTGAATATGAGCAGCATACTCACTGTCCCGTGTGGCGGCATACTCACTGTCCTGTGGCAGTGAATATGAGCAGCATCCTCACTGTCCTGTGTGGCTGTGAATATGAGCAGCATACTCACTGTCCTGTGTGGCAGTGAATATGAGCAGCACCCTCACTGTCCTGTGTGGCAGTGAATATGAGCAGCACCCTCACTGTCCTGTGTGGCAGTGAATATGAGCAGCATCCTCACTGTCATGTGTGGCAGTGAATATGAGCAGCATCCTCACTGTCCTGTGTGGCAGTGAATATGCCATATCCTCATTGCAAAATTAGGCAAAATTCTCTGAATTCAGTTTTGTGGGAAACAGTATATGTTTGTGTCCATATTGTTCCTTTTGTCCCATTGTGTCCCAGGACGACTGTACATCACCTTCCAGTGCTTCATTGTGTCACTGTTCACCTGTGTCCCATTGTGTCCCAGAACACTGTCACCTGCCAGTGTCCCATTGTGTCCCAGGACGACTGTACATCACCTCCCAGTGCTTCATTGTGTCCCAGGACGACTGTACATTTGTCCCATTGTGTCCCAGGACGACTGTACATCACCTCCCAGTGCTTCATTGTGTCCCAGGACGACTGTACATCACCTCACCTCTCAGGACAGTCCAGTGCTTCATTGTGTCCCAGGACGACTGTACATCACCTCCCAGTGCTTCATGTGTCCCAGGACGACTGTACATCACCTCCCAGTGCTTCATTGTGTCCCAGGACGACTGTACATCACCTCCCAGTGCTTCATTGTGTCCCAGGACGACTGTACATCACCTCCCAGTGCTTCATTGTGTCCCAGGACGACTGTACATCACCTCCCAGCTTCACAGGACGACTGTACATCACCTCCCAGTGCTTCATTGTGTCCCAGGACGACTGTACATCACCTCCCAGTGCTTCATTGTGTCCCAGGACGACTGTACATCACCTCCCAGTGCTTCATTGTGTCTCAGGACGACTGTACATCACCTCCCAGTGCTTCATTGTGTCCCAGGACGACTGTACATCACCTCCAAGTGCTTCATTGTGTCCCAGGACGACTGTACATCACCTCCCAGTGCTTCATTGTGTCTCAGGACGACTGTACATCACCTGCCAGTGTCCCATTGTGTCCCAGGACGACTGTACATCACCTGCGAGTGTGTCCCAGGACGACTGTACATCACCTCCCAGTGTTTCATTGTGTCCCAGGACGACTGTACATCACCTGCCAGTGTCCCATTGTGTCTCAGGACGACTGTACATCACCTGCCAGTGTCCCATTGTGTCCCAGGACGACTGTACATCACCTGCCAGTGTTTCATTGTGTCCCAGGACGACTGTACATCACCTGCCAGTGTCCCATTGTGTCCCAGGACGACTGTACATCACCTGCCAGTGTTTCATTGTGTCCCAGGACGACTGTACATCACCCCAGTGCTTCATTGTGTCCCAGGACGACTGTACATCACCTCCCAGTGCTTCATTGTGTCCCAGGACGACTGTACATCACCTCCCAGTGCTTCATTGTGTGCTGTACATTGTGTCATTGTGTCTCAGGACGACTGTACATCACCTCCCAGTGCTTCATTGTGTCCCAGGACGACTGTACATCACCTGCCAGTGTTTCATTGTGTCTCAGGACGACTGTACATCACCTCCCAGTGCTTCATTGTGTCCCAGGACGACTGTACATCACCTGCGAGTGTCCCATTGTGTCCCAGGACGACTGTACATCACCTCCCAGTGTTTCATTGTGTCCCAGGACGACTGTACATCACCTGACAGTGTCCCATTGCGTCCAGGACGACTGTACATCAGTGTCCCTCCCAGGACGACTGTACATCACCTGCCAGTGTTTCATTGTGTCCCAGGACGACTGTACATCACCTGCCAGTGTCCCATTGTGTCCCAGGACGACTGTACATCACCTGTCATTGTGTCCCAGGACGACTGTACATCACCTCCCAGTGCTTCATTGTGTCCCAGGACGACTGTACATCACCTCCCAGTGACGACTGTACATCACCTCCCAGTGCTTCATTGTGTCCCAGGACGACTGTACATCACCTGCCAGTGTTTCATTGTGTCTCAGGACGACTGTACATCACCTCCCAGTGCTTCATTGTGTCCCAGGACGACTGTACATCACCTCCCAGTGCTTCATTGTGTCCCAGGACGACTGTACATCACCTCCCAGTGCTTCATTGTGTCCCAGGACGACTGTACATTGTGTCCCAGGACGACTGTACATCACCTCCCAGTGTCCCATTGTGTCCCAGGACACTGTACATCACCTCCCAGTGCTTCATTGTGTCCCAGGACGACTGTACATCACCTCCCAGTGCTTCATTGTGTCCCAGGACAGGACGACTGTACATCACCTCCCAGTGTTTCTCCCAGTGCTTCAGTGCTTCATGTGTCCCAGGACGACTGTCTATATCACCTTCCTATCACATTGCAGATGACGATGAGAGCGGCGCTGTTGTTCCTGTTGCTGGCGTCTGGGGCGCTGGCGGCCGGTAAGTCCTCCCAGTTTACCATGTTCTCGCTGCCAGGTCTCGCTGCCAGGTCTCGCTGCCAGGTCTAGCTGCCAAGTCTACCAGCTGCCAGGTCTCGCTGCCAGGTCTCGCTGCCAGGTCTAGCTAGCTGCCAGGTGCCAGGTCTAGCTGCCAGTCTAGCTGCCAGGTCTAGCTGCCAGGTCTAGCTGCCAGGTCTAGCTGCCAGGTCTAGCTGCCAGGTCTAGCTGCCAGGTCTAGCTGCCAGGTCTAGCTGCCAGCCATCTAGGTCTGCCAGGTCTAGCTGCCAGGTCTAGCTGCCAGGTCTAGCTGCCAGGTCTAGCTGCCAGGTCTAGCTGCCAGGTCTAGCTGCCAGGTCTAGCTGCCAGGTCTAGCTGCCAGGTCTAGGTGCCAGGTCTCGCTGCCAGGTCTAGCTGCCAGGTCTAGCTGCCAGGTCTAGCTGCCAGGTCTAGCTGCCAGGTCTAGCTGCCAGGTCTAGCTGCCAGGTCTAGCTGCCAGGTCTAGCTGCCAGGTCTAGGTGCCAGGTCTAGCTGCCAGGTCTAGCTGCCAGGTCTAGCTGCCAGGTCTAGCTGCCAGGTCTAGCTGCCAGGTCTCGCTGCCAGGTCTAGCTGCCAGGTCTAGCTGCCAGGTCTAGGTGCCAGGTCTAGCTGCCAGGTCTAGCTGCCAGGTCTAGCTGCCAGGTCTAGGTGCCAGGTCTAGCTGCCAGGTCTAGCTGCCAGGTCTAGCTGCCAGGTCTAGCTGCCAGGTTTAGCTGCCAGGTCTAGCTGCCAGGTCTAGGTGCCAGGTTTAGCTGCCAGGTCTAGCTGCCAGGTCTAGGTGCCAGGTCTAGCTGCCAGATCTAGGTGCCAGGTCTAGCTGCAGGTCTCGCTGCCAGGTCTAGCTGCCAGGTCTAGCTGCCAGGTCTAGCTGCCAGGTTTAGCTGCCAGGTCTAGCTGCCAGATCTAGGTGTCAGGTCTAGCTGCCAGGTCTAGCTGTCAGGTCTAGCTGCCAGGTCTAGCTGCCAGGTTTAGCTGCCAGATCTAGGTGCCAGGTCTAACTGCCAGGTTAGCTGCCAGGTCTAGCTGCCAGGTCTCGCTGCCAGGTCTAGCTGCCAGGTTTCGCTGCCAGATCTAGGTGCCAGGTCTAACTGCCAGGTCTAGCTGTCAGGTCTAGCTGCCAGGTCTAACTGCCAGTCTAGCTGCCAGGTCTAGCTGCCAGGTCTAGCTGCCAGGTCTAGCTGCCAGATCTAGGTGCCAGGTCTAACTGCCAGGTCTAGCTGCCAGGTCTAGCTGCCAGGTCTAGCTGCCAGGTCTAGCTGCCAGATCTAGGTGCCAGGTCTAACTGCCAGGTTTAGCTGCCAGGTCTAGCTGCCAGATCTAGCTGCCAGGTCTCGCTGCCAGGTCTAGGTGCCAGGTCTAGCTGCCAGGTCTAGCTGCCAGGTCTCGCTGCCAGGTCTAGCTGCCAGGTTTCGCTGCCAGGTCTCGCTGCCAGGTTTTCCCAAGGTTGAGAGGCAGTGTAAACACTACTGGTAGTGTTTCACCTTTTCAATACCGGAAATGCTTAAGGGACCATTACCTCCCAATTTGCACAAAATATGCAATAAATGAA